TTATAGCCTTACTACCATTTTAATGTATTTCTGAAAAGAGAGCTATGGTTGATTGATCCCATGCATTTAAATCCTCATAATACTTTTTACTATATAACTAAGGCTAATATTTGAGATCCAAGCTAACAATTAAGATGAGATGATTTTAATATTTATAATTGTAATAGTAAGTTTAGTAGAAAAGCATTAATGAACCTAGTTTGTCAGCTATTAACTCCAGCATTGAATTATTTTCAAATGTAAAAATACCATATATGTTGCATACAGATCTTGGAGTATAACATGACAAATTCAATTCATGTCAAACAATGGGCAAGACTCTTTTCCATCCACATTTTGTATCTACATATGTGATATTCCAGGCCTAGCATGTGGCTAAGGGCAAGTCAATTTGAGGAAAAAAAATGTCTTACATTGTCACACTTATTAATGAAAAAAATCACCAATAACCTGTTATATTCTTCTATGCACTGTGTGAAGATATAGCAATGAAAGAGGCACAGTCTTTGTCCTCAAGTTTTTTATAGTTTAGAATCTAGGGGCATTCTAGATGAGCCAATTATATGTTGCTTGTCTTATGACCCAAGTGAGCATTGACTGGTGGTGTTAGGGTTATCTATAATACAAGAAGCTCCTGGCATATAAAGAGGGAACTAGTGGTCATGCTGACCAGAAGCTATGTAAAGTTTGGAGAAGGGTATCCACGAGCAGATTCTTAAAGTACAAATTAGGGCTAGGAAGATGAGAGATGGTGGTTCCAGGAAGAAGTGTACCTGCAGAGAGAGCCATGAAAGAGGATGACGTCATTGCCAGCCATTAGTGTAGCCAAAGGTCCTGTATGGAAGGTGCTGAGGCTGGTGCAGGAGTGTTGGGCAGAAGCTGCCTCATTCAGAGGGAAGATAATCTCTGTAAATTTAAACAAATATTATGGAAATCTGTCATATTTATGATCTAAGAAAAGGGACCGTGGTAGACGCACAGTCAGCAATGAGTGAAGAAATGAATGGAAACAAAGAAAAGGAACATTGTGCTTCTTTTAAATCCTTAAAGCTGATCTCACATACTTGAAGTCTCTGAGTCATGCAGTGCTGTAAAACAGTTCACCAAGTCTTATCCTCAAACCCTAAAATCCTTATTTTAAAAACTTGAGGTTAGCAGGCATTTTTTGCACTAAGTTTAATCTTATTTCATGTAATTTTTACTATATTTTATTTATTGCTTTTAGAGGGAGAGAAAGGGAGAGAAAAAAAAACATTGAATTGTTGTTTCATGTATTTACCTACTCATGGTTGATTCTTGTATGTGCCCTGACCAAGGATCAAACCCTCAACCTTGGTGGATCAAGATGATGCTGTAGCCAACTGAGCTACTCAGACAGGATTTATTTAATGTATTTTTAATAACATTAAACCAGCACTCATATTGATCAGAATTGGAAACTTGCCGTTCGAGTCATTTCTTTGTCTTTCCCAGAACAGTTCTCCTTGTGGAGAGGATTGGAATAGTCTGAATAAGCGTGTGACATGAAATTCTAGAAGAAATGTTTTAACCATTGATGTTGTACACATTAATCATTTGCAGTGGTGTGAATCTGACATAAATTCAAAGCCTGGCAGTGTTCTAAATGATAATCTCATGTTATAATTATGTGTAAGGATTTTCTGTATAATATACATGATAATATCATGTTGTTAAATCTAATATTCATGCCTGAGTTGCCAAGAAAGAAATCTTGATTATTCTAATAGTATCTAATATGGTCCCTAATTACCTACCTCTTCTTGACTATTCTCAACTGAGTATGTCTGAATATAACACCAACGTTAGCATAAGATATTATTTTTCCATTCTGATCAATTTTTCAGGCAGGTTTACTATTTTATAAACAGAGAGAAGAGAGAAATAATTTACCACTGAGTCCCAAATTCTAAAATACCAACTCCTAAAAAGATATTTTCTTCTAATTAAGCTCTTCAATATGGGATTACAATCTCTGACCCAGTCTAGTGTGTATAGCATATAATAAATATTGACTAAATGATAATTATGGCACAATACTTGACAGTGTTTGACAGAGTCAAATGAGGATGGAAGAAATTTGTGTATTTAAAACTCTGCATTAATGAAAGGTGAGCAACTAAAGAGGAGTCTGTTTCCCTAAATGTGTAATGATGCTTTTATTTTTTTAAAGTCACCTACTGCTTCCAACTTTGAGAAGTGCTACAGGAAGAACAGATTCCCAAACCTGTGCCAAACCTGAGATCTCCTTGTAGGTCCCAGCTGTGAAGGTATCCCCACTGGCCTGTGTTTACGTATGAGCTCTTGCACTCCTCTTTGTAGTTGCTCTACCAAAGGGCAACCTTGTGCCCAGGAGATTTGTTTTAAGTCACTCAGGAATAGAAATAACTTAAAGATTTCATTCAGACATGGTCATGTTTTCTGTCTAGTGATTGAGGACACTGTTAAAATAGAAAGGGTGGCCAAAACCGGTTTGGCTCAGTGGATAGAGCATCGGCCTGCGGACTGAAAGGTCCCAGATTCGATTCTGGTCAAGGGCATGTATCTTAGTTGTGGGCATATCCTCAGTAGGGGGTGTGTAAGAGGCAGCTGATCGATGATTCTTTCTTGTCAATGTTTCTATCTTTCTATCGCTCTCTCTTCCTCTCTGTAAAAAAATCAATAATATATATATATTATATATATATATATAATATATATATATAATATATATTTTAAAGAAATAGATAGGGTGGAAGACTATAACTTTTTCAGCCATGTTTCAGATTTCCCATGTCTTCAAACAGTAATGTAAAATGAAAATGAATGCAAGTCAAGAACTGAGCACATAGTAAGCACTCAACAAATATTTTATATGCACCAGGGAATTAAGGCCACCAACTCTTAAATGCATCAGATCTTTATGTAAATCACGTTTGTTAAGAAAAAACTGTCTCACAATTAAATACTGAATAGGCAGCGATTTTCAACCCCTGTATAATACCTGACTAGTCAGTGGCACTGATCTCTTTTCCCGTAGATTGTCAAAAAATAAAAATAAAAATGACAGCAGCCAACACATTCAATACCCATTTAGTATGAATGAATGAGTGTATGGCAGAATTTTAGTTCATGCGTGCCATGAGGCGAAAAAGATTGAAAATCACTGTAATAGGGTATGAACTATTTTGCCTCCCTTCTTTTGTATTGCCCACACCCATGCCAGGGAAGTGCATTCCCTGTTTCAGGCAACTGCTTAATGAGGCATACTCTCTAGACAGAGCCTCAAGGTCATGAATGGGTTAGAATCCAAAGCTTACATCTTATTTGAAATGAAAACTACATTCTGCCATGGAAACCCCATTGCACAGGCCTGGCAGACTCCCAGAGCCTGTGAGCTCATATTGTAGCTGAAGGATAGCATGGACCCCATCACCCTACTCGTATGTACATGTTATTGAACAGGGGAAATGCACTTACTTGTCTTCCTAGAAAGCTAGGAATACCTCTTGGCCACCCTGTTGGCAATGAAGTCTCTCTACCGAGCCATTCTAGGAGGGGAGTCCACTGCTAGGACATGATGGCAGTCCCTGGGGAACACTCTGTCCTTCTGCAACCAGAAACTCTAAGAGTGCTCATCAGCAGGTCGGTTTTTCTTTCAGAAGATACAGTGATTGTTTTCTCTCTTACTTACTCTGGAAATCTACTACTCTGGACAGGTTTTCTCTTTCCCTAGACCAGAATAGCTTGAAATGCTATTTCTTAGGGGGTCATGGCATTAGAAAGGTTGAGAACACTGCTTTATATAATAGAATAGTCAGGATAAACTGTATCCCTTCCCTCACTGTAACTCTTGTGTGTGCGACTATTGAGGCAACAGCTTTTATTAAGCTCTGGTTCTTGGCAGGGACTGTGTAATCAAAGATACAGTTTTTGTATAGCGAGTACAGGAGCTCTAGGTCAACAGTTCAGCATAGTCCTATGGTGGAGAAATACACAGGATACTGAGGGAGAAATACAGAAATACAAAGGGTAACTGAGGGAGAAATACACAGGGTAACTGAGGGAGAAACACACAGGGTAACTGAGGGAGAAACACACAGGGTAACTGAGGGAGAAACACACAGGGTAACTGAGGGAGAAACACACAGAGTAACTGAGGGAGAAACACACAGGGTAACAGAGGGAGAAACGCACAGGGTAACTGAGGGAGAAACGCACAGGGTGCTGAGGGAGAAACGCACAGGGTACTGAGGGAGAAACGCACAGGGTAACTGAGGGAGAAACGCACAGGGTAACTGAGGGAGAAACGCACAGGGTGCTGAGGGAGAAACGCACAGGGTGCTGAGGGAGAAACGCACAGGGTAACTGAGGGAGAAACGCACAGGGTAACTGAGGGAGAAACGCACAGGGTTCTGAGGGAGAAACGCACAGGGTGCTGAGGGAGAAACACACAGGGTGCTGAGGGAGAAACGCACAGGAGAGAGCTGGGACAAGAGCAGAGAGAAAGGATCCCACTTCAATGTCTACTGAAAAATGACTAAAAGAAGGCCAACTAGGGAAATTAAGTTTGCAAAGGACACCCTAAGCAAAGGGAACAGCATGGCTCCTTCTGTTACAAAGGCGTGAATTGAGATTGGGCAGCTGCATATTGACCTATAAGTCAAACACACCAGTGAGCCTCAAGGAATGCTGAGACATTACCATAGGCCAGGGCAGGCTCAAGGATAAATATGCGTTTATCAACTTACACCAGTGGGAAAATAGTTTTTTATATTTAACAGTTTCTCTTTCAGATTATTTTTAAAGTTGCGGAAATCCTGATGTCCTTCAGATTGCATAGATGGAACCTCAAATTTATTTATAATCGAGAGCTTTGAAAACCTCTAACTAGAGCAGCTTATAGAAGATACTTAGTGAATTAATTGAATTGAATCAAACTGGCCTTAGCAACCACAATGTAGATAAACTATAAAGGCCTGGCTTTGTTTGCTATTTTTCAGGTACCATGATCAACAGGATGTTACTAGCAACTTCCTTGGAGCAATGTGGTTGATATCAATAACTTTTCTCTCCATTGGTTATGGTGACATGGTACCTAACACATACTGTGGGAAAGGAGTCTGTTTGCTTACTGGAATTATGGTAAGTGTCTCTTTACGTTCCATCTCTTTTATTTATACTCAAGAAGGCACTTAAACTGTTGGGTACATGTGCAGAATCATTGTAAGCTATTCGGGTTCCCAAGCAGGGAATCCATGTAATAAATCAGTTCTGTGTTGTGAGTGGACCTCAGTTTTGATCTTACTCTTCTCATCATGCATCTCTGTTGAGGACATAGAGTTGCTAGATTGCTCTTTGTGGGTGGTGCACTAATTTGATGAGCAAAATATCTTGGAGTTCCAACTTCAGAGTCAGAACGTTTTTTGTGTAAGTCTGGGTTCTGCTATTTCCTGCTAGCTGTGTGATCTCAAGTAAGTTTCTCTTCTCTGAGTCTTAATTTTCCTCATCTGTAAAATGTGAATCATAATAAGAATCTTTAAGTGTGTCAAAAGGGTTAAAAAAATTACATGACGTTTTATCAGATTAGATTTATTATTTTAATATTTGTTGAGTGCCAGCCTCTGACCCATATACTGAAAATACAGCAAAAGAAGTCAGAAACTCTTTTTGCCTGCCTTCTTGAAACATGTAGGGGAAGAACCTGCACTTAAAAATAATTAACAAATAATTGTTAATCACACTTGTAATAAATATATGAGGAAGTAAAGCTTCTGATGTGATTTTTGGAACTGAGGGATGAGATCTGTTCAGAGAAATAGATCTCCATGAAGTCAGCTTTTAACTTTTCACTGAGATGGGAAAGGGCAGTAGCCAGGCAAAGCGGGAAGAAGGAGGGGCATTCTGGAAGAGAAAATGGTTTATTTGAAGATAATGAGGCGAGGAGGAACACCATACATTTGAGCAAGTTTACTAGGCCTGGAGTGTGCACAGTGAGTGGGAAAATGTCATGGCCTGAGGCTGGGGACAGGTCTTGTGGGAGCACTTGAGAAAGGGGACCTGCCACTGTTCATCAGGGATGCCTAGCAGGCTCAGATACCTCCCTTGCCCCTTACATGTGTACTATTTATGTGAGATATGACAATTGTAGGCTAACACACCATCTAAAATCTATTAATGTGATATGAACTTTTAAACGTTTAAGCCAGAGATAGTTTCAAATTATTGCATTATTTTGAGTGACTTAGATGATTCTTATCTGCTTTTGATTATAGGGAAGAATGTTATCTTGCTATTTGTTTGCTTTGTGCCTACACAAGGAAGGGAACTGCTAAGGCAGGAAATTCCCAGAATTTCTCAAGTTAGGCACTCCTGCCCAAGGAGAGGCAGGCTTCCCACATGATGGCTTTTGAATGGTGGCCAGGGCAGCATGTATCTTCCCAGCAGCTGCGCAAAGGTTGTTCCAAGAGTTGGAACCAGCTAGGAGGACTGAGTCTATGGCAGAGACAGGTGGGAACAGTCTTCTCCCACTTGGTAGTATTGAACTGGGAAAAGGCAGCTGGCAGTGAAAATAAAGTTCAGTTCTAATGTTAAGGTTACAAGTAGTAACAAGATGACCATTCCAAGTTCCAGTTATGGAAAATATTTCTGGATCATAATTTAACTATAAAATTAAAGTTTTGTGAATTTTAGAGAACTTTTATTTCATTACAGTTGTTATGGTCCATTGTGTTCACTATTGGATTATTTCCTGAAAATACAGCATTTTATTATATAGTATAATGCTTTGGAAAATAAAATTTGCATGGATAGATTTTTGGAGGGTCCATAACAAGCCCACAAGGGGCAAGAATGATGCTACTTATAAAAATAAAAAAAACAGAACCAATAATTGGAGTATCTCTCCCCCCGCAGCCCCCATGCTTTTTAGAAACAACTTTCTTGGTGTTCTTTTTTGGCAAGATGTCCCTCACTTTATTTTTGAATTGGGGATGAGTCAGGATTTGTGCAAACAGCCTCATTTGCCATGGGATCAGAGCCAAATTTAAAGTTAACTTTGCCAGGATCTTGCGGTACTTTTATCGTTCCTCTTAATTTTTTTCTTTGTCTTTAATGTCTCAAGAACAGTTCCTTCAAAATTTCATCTGACAGCACAAATCTTTTATTTAAGTGCTTGAACTCCTTCCTCACTTAGGTTTTACTAGTAGTCTTAACTTTGCTTTTGCTTGTAACTTCTATTTTCAAAACAATCTTAATTGACATGGGCAGAAAAATGTTATGTGCAGTTAAATTTACAGTGATGTGGTCCTGTTTTTTAAGCTCATAGTGAAACAGTCCTTCACTCCTTGGGCTAAGGAGCTCATCCCATCCCCCTCATAAAATTTATTGTGAATGTCATGGGCGCTCATCCCATCCCCCTCACAAAATTTATTGTGAATGTCATGATAACCTGTGAGAGGCTCAGTTTTATTTTCACTGCCAGCTGCCTTTTCCTAATTGACCCCTCAAAGATCATTTGCTTGTTTTTAGAGAATTGCAGTAACCTTTGACTAGCCTATTTGAAATACTGTATAGAGTTGGATTGTCTCTATCCCTGAGCCAAAACATGGAGACAGTCTTCTGGGAGTTGACTCTATTCCATATCATTTCCTGGAGAGCAAGAACTTACAAATGGAGGTTACCTAGAAACTAGTATGGAGAGTATTGGCTGACAGTATAGATTTCTAAAAAATAATAATAATTTTTTCCATAGTTCATACAAAGGTTAGTTTCCTTTAAATGAAATAGATTTGTTTTTATCAGACAAATGTTGTTTGCTTTTGTTTTCAGGAACTTTAAATAGCAGTTTATCACTTTTGAATTATCTAAGCCAGATAAGACTTGTTTTTATTTCTAGCATTTTTTGGGGGACGGGGGGATATTTTTTGCCTATTCCCCCTTAGACTTTTGTAATGCTTGTTTAGGTAAAATGTGTATTGTCAGATTTCCCATGAGTCATCTCTTTGTGTCTATCTCTCTCTCCCCTTGTGCCCTTTAGTTTAGTAAACTGTGAAAAAGAAATACAATTTACAACACTCCTGAGAGAGGCCAGGGTAATTCCTGAATCCTCTTGTATATTTTTTCTGAAGTGCCCTGTGTCTTTGTGCTTTTACATTTAGATTTTCTTATCCTCTCATTTATGATATAACTTTAGACTACTATTGATATAATTTATATCTGTGTTTTTTTTTACTTTAGAATAAAATAGAATTGATCTAAATGCTAATACCTACAGAGCTTTCCCATTTCAAAAATGTACATGTAAAGAAATTAGCTCTGCTTTTCTTCATATAGCTAATAAAAGTAATGAATTATTTCTTAGCATCATCGTAGATGTTCATATTTCATTAGTAAGACTCAAAATTAAATTATAATTTAATAGTTTTAAAGCTTAATTTGTGCCATGAGTTATATTCTGTGGAACCAAGGACATTAATATTAACCTGCAGTGCTCTCAGCAAAAATGTATTGTTGAACCATTAGGATAGAGTTTTCCAGAATATTTCTAAAAAGAAACAAATGGCCTTATCAAAAATAACCTCTTCTCACCTGAAATGTAAATTGTGAATCCAAAGACCATTGAAAATCCAAGACCATCATGCTAAGCTTTTGTTATAAATTTTAGGTTGTGTTTATAATTTTATACATAGATGATAATGGAAATACTAAGATAAGTGTATCTTAGATACCGAGTGCTTTCACAGAAATTCCATTGTGATAGATAAAACAAGGCAAGAATAAATGTTCCTTTTACCAAGACTAACCTACTTAAGAGACAAGGAAGGATCTCTTCCTCTCTCCTGGATTTAAAAACATAGGATTTTGCCTAATAGACCAAGTCTCTCATTAACCTAAAGGTTGTATTTACCTCTTCTTTTCCTGTTTCTTCTATCCTTCCTCTCTTTAAGAAGGTACCAAGGGCATGAAGATTTATTATTGTGAATGTCATGATAACCTGTGATAGGCTCAATTTTGAGTGGCTCTTAGTCTTTTTAAGGCAGTAGGCAACTAACATTGTTCCAGCACGGTGTCTTAGCTTTCTATGAGCAGCAGGTAGTCGCTCAGTATCTCTAACTTTATAACAGAGAAATTGTTTTGCTTTAAACTTAAAAAGTTATCCTATCTACCATTTTATATTTGTACATAGGTATAACACATGTTGAAAGTTTTAGTTTTTTTCTTATCTATAAATATACAGGGTGGGGCAAAAGTTTACAGCTGTGAGTATACAAAACAGAGTTTATTCTTATATTACTAATTATGGCATCATTTTCCATACAAACAACTGTAGACCTACTTTGACCCCCCCCAACTTGTGTATGATGTCTCAAGAGTAGGATCTAGCCTCATTGGTAAGAGTAATTTTTTTATTCTCCTTCTGTAAAATTATATAGGTATGGATGATAGAATTCTTTGGCATAATTGTCTTTAAATATAGAGTAATATCTGCCCATTCTTAGGGACGCAGGTGATCTAATAAGCAGACCTTTAAAGTGATCTATAAACCCATAGACATGTGTTTTAGACTTTCTGCTATTTTGTCTTTGCTTTTAAGAATTTTTCCCTCTGCCAGTGGGGGTAGAGAAAGTAGACTACAGGCAGCCATCCTGGGTGTTGCATGTGTGAATAAGAAGAAAAAAAAAAAAAAAGAAAAAAAGGAAAAGGAACCCAGGTTTTATTTTTTTTTTTTAACATGTCTTTTATAATTTTTTAAAAATATATTTTATTGATTTTTTACAGAGAGGAAGGGAGAGAGACAGAGAGCCAGAAAGGTCGATGAGAGAGAAACATCAACCAGCTGCCTCTTGCACACCCCCTACCAGGGATGTGCCTGCAACCCATGTACATGCCCTTGACCGGAATCGAACCCGGGACCTTTCGGTCCGCAGACTGACGCTCTACCACTGAGCCAAACCGGCTTCGGCATGTCTTTTATAATTTGATATTAGGTGCTTAATCCCAAATAAGAAACAAATGGCCTTATCAAAGAGGTTATTTTACTTTTTGTTTGGTTTTGGCTTTCTCTGGTGTGTTCATTGAATCTCATCAAACAATATCCAGTGAGGAGAGAGAATCTTTAGGTTTTTATAATAGTCTGTTTTGAG